ACTCAAATTCTGGATTTCTCTTCTCATTTTTTCCTCTCTAGCCTTGACAGTACCTGCTAATTTCAGCTTGCAGTACAAAGAATGCAATTCACCTAGATGTGAGCATGAATTAGAGAGGGTCACATGAAATAAAGGGTAGTACAGCTCCTTAGCTCCTGGTAAATAAGCACAGACAGACTTTATTGTTACTTGGCTCTTTCATTTAAACAATGAACCCTTGTTCAATTCTTCTGTTTTAATAATTTTCTTTGGATTTTCAGTGCAAACAGGGAAAGAAACTGTACTATAGATGGTTTGGTAACACCTGTGAGTTAGCTCTCTTTTTTAAATCAAGGTTGTTATTTAAATTTATTTCAGATGAACCTGGAATATTTCTTACCTCCTTGCACAGATTTTCAAGATCAGCTCCAGAGAAGAGGTCTGTTAGGGCTGCCACATCTTGTAATGACACATCAGTATCTAATGGAATTTTTTCGGTGCAGATTTTCAAAATGGAGAGTCTTCCCTGTAAATTGGTGCATGTTATGCAAGAAAACAAAACCAAACAAATGAAAAATTAATCTTTCTGCAAAGCAGTACCAAAGTTGAAATTAGAGTCAAGGAAAATCCAGAAAAGTACCAAAACTACCCGGTTTTGGTGGAAGAATAAAATGCTATTAATGGAGATAATGCACTTCTAGTTGTCTCATATATTTAAGATCTGATATTCACAGTAACTCCTTGCTTCATGGAAACACAGTATTTTAGGCTGAACAGGTCTCATTTGGCATGCTTTGGGTCAACTTTTTTTTTTTTTGTGAAGCTTAGGACAAACAGCTACGCTATCCTTGGGAACAGTACACAAAAGTAATTTGAAGCAAGGACAGACAATGTATTTTGTTATTTTCTAAACTGTAGCTTGACTTTGTAAATATATGTTTTCTCTATAACTACATACACCAGTTAAAATCTTACTGGTGTTTAAAATAAAAGTATCTTTATTACTTGAATTTTTTCATTGCACCTTGAATCTCGTGACTGACCTCCAGTGAAACACCCATCACTTGTTAAGTATGTTACAGGAATATGCTCCCTTTGCTCTTAAAGTATGCTGGTAATTAATATCTCTCCCCTTAAAGCCACGTATGGATGTGTAATACCTTCAGATCTGGAGGTGGAATATAGATCATCTTGTCCAGCCTTCCAGGACGGAGTAAGGCATCATCCAACATATCTGGTCTATTTGTTGCAGCAACTACCATGAAATCTTTGTTCAAAGTTTCCTGAAACTCTAGCTGAGTAAGAGATCATGTAAACAAATTAGTGCAACATGGTTGAGATAGGTATTATCAAAACATATCAGTTAACTACTAATGACAAGAGGGGAAGAGCAAAAAGATAATGTAATTTTACATTACATTAGTAATTAGTTAATTTCCCTCCTGTATTTTATCTTTCTTGAGCAAAAAAAATGCCTTGGTACAGGGCAGATTACATGACAAAGAAAAAATATTGTAAGTATCTGCCTTGGCAATAAATAAGGACTTTTTTTGGACCAGATTGTAACAAAGATCTTTTTTATATGCAAAAAATTCTGTATCCTACAATTTAGGAACTGTTCTCTTTATTATTCCCCCAGGGAGTATCATCATAAGAAAAAATTTATATACAAAAAAGCTAAGTATTAAATGTTGTACCTTCACTTGTCAGTGAATTGTTCACAAGTTTTTGTTTAAATAACTAACTGATCATAACTGTGCTGCTTTTGTATGCATTATGTGTGACAAAAGAACTGCAAATGAAGTAGGGGAAGTACTTATAAAAAGTAAGCTTGGGGAAGAACTTGTTTAAGAGTCAAATCACACAATCATTCTAAAAATTACTGTCAAGAAAAGGATTTTTATGACAGAAGATGAAAACCCAACTAATAATGCTCATTAGTCTGTGTGGGTATTTTTTTCAAAGAAAGCCTAATTGAGGAACAGTGTATGTAAAAACAATCAGCAGCCTATATACAGTATCTTCTAAAAACTAGCAATTATGACAGAGTAAAAGAGCTTCTTGTGTGATTTTATGTTTGAGGATTTTAAGTTTAAAATGTGAATGCCAACAATTAAATTTTTTGAAACAACTGGACACCACTTCTCATTCTTCCTACACAGAAAAAGGAACATAAATACCTTTCTTTCCTCATCACTTTGTTCTTGGCATTGAGCCTCAAGCTGTAGCTTGCCTCCTCTTCTTTCTGTAACTTTCAGCCCAACTCCATCCAATTCATTGAGAAGAACAGAAAGAACCCGCTCTGAGACACCATGGCCAGTTCTGCAGTGTGCCCGAGATCCCAAGATAGAATCAATCTCATCTAGAAATATTATTGCTGGAGTATTTGCTCTTGCTTGACGAAAAACCTTTACAACAGATGTCAATAAAAGAAAAGATTAACACCTGCATTCTATCAGGTAAGGTGAAAAAAGAATCCCACTTACATATACTCTGTATTTTACTTAACTTTAAAGGTACATTTGTAATGATTCTGTTCTGGCTTACATTTACTATTGGCAAATTCTGCTTCTTATTTATATTCCTAAATGAACTGAGAACAAAAGGCTAGAAATACTTCCAAAGTTTAACACTGGTATAATTTTAGGGATAGATTCTCACTTTATCTACATGTGAATTGGTAAGCCATTTTTATTTTATAAACAGATGAGAGCTCTACCATCTTTTCAACAACAAAATTTAGGTCTAACTAACACTTTACAAAAATCAAGAAAAAATAGACTACAGAACCTTACACAAATTAAAAACTGTACCTGAGACAAAATCTTCTCTGAATCTCCAACGTAAGGTGAGAACAGGTCAGCACCACTTACAGAGAGAAAGGAACAGTGACAACTTGTGGCCACAGCCTTCACCAGTGTGGTTTTGGCACACCCAGATGGTCCATAGAGAAGAATACCCTTGGGATGAGACAGGCCCATCCTGGCAAATGCCTCAGGAAATTTCATAGGCCACTCAATACTCTGTCAATACATAAAAAAGGGATCAAATTCTTAGTAACAAGCAATCAATCAAACTCCCAAGTGCATAATTTCCTCTCCTTGATACAAACATTAATTGGAAATCAGAGAATACTGATTTAGTCTTTCTTCATATATTGTCCCCTGCTTAAATTTTCCATTTGAAACAGAACTAAAAGCAATCCTGAAGAGATAACAGTCAAGAACCATCCCTGGATAGATATTCAGGAATGGACAAATTATCTGGCTACAAGTTAAGTATTTTTCAGCTACTAAAAACATGCCTATTTTCCCATTATATTACTATGCTTGGTGGTGGTATCTTGTGACTGCAACATTTCTAACTCAAGCACTGTAACAACGTTTAAAATACAATTTATAATCAGGTAATTTGCAAGGGAGATAATTTTCCTAATACAGAACACCTTGGAGTACACATTTAGAAATTAGCTGTTTATCTAAATTAGTTTAATACATTACCTGTTTTAACTTTAATTTCACATCTTCAAGACCACCAATTTGCTCCCACGTCACAGGTTTACACTCCGTTAGTCCAACTGCACCTCGAAAAGAGGACGGTTGAATTTTTTTAAAAGCTTCTTGGAAATCTCCCATGTTAATCATGGTTTCCCTTTCAGCTGAATCCTGAAAAAAATCCCCAGATAAAGCATATTAACATTTTAATGCAATACTTTAATGCTGCACTAATATGCAAACCACTTAACCTAAGGCTAAATAAAACTAATAAGGAAGTCAATTCCTGAGCTTAAATACTGCAGACACAAAATGCAATATAAAGTAAAATATAACCTCTTTAATAGCAAGTTTTTACACAGGAAAAAAACAATTTTAACAGAAATTAATGTTTCAGAGAAAACTACTATTCCCTAAATTATAGCTCCATCAGGCAGTGATAGGCTAAATCAAATACTTGCTGTCAGGGTTAACACACATCACACCCTACAATCTTATGAATAGAAATAAAAAAATTTACAAAATCATGCCACTATTAAACCAGAGATGCAGTAACACAACTAAGGTGAGAACTGAAATGACGAGCAACAATAACATATTTATAATATGCTTGGTGCGAGTCTTCAACCTGTTGAGCTTTTCAAATAAAGTATTAATGAGGAGAAGGGTAGTACAAGTATTAGTGACATTGGTCTTGACTGATTTGCAACCATACCAAAGAGCTGTGGGACACAGCCTGCATAGCAGCTTCTCTGCAGAGTGCTGTAAGGTCAGCTCCAACATACCCAGTTGTCATTTCTGCCAGCTTAGCCAAATCAACCTCTGCAGAAATGGGCATATCAGATGTAAGCAACTGCAGGATGGATCTTCTCTGTGTTACTGTTGGCGTCCCAATAATAACCTAAATCAAACAGAATAAACAAAAATTTTAAGTAGATAATTTGCCATACTAATTTATTTCATAGATCTAGGCAAGCAGTTTTGTCTCTGCTTTATATTGGCTATTGAAAATTTATATATACTTATATCCCAACTAAAGAGTTTTACAGGAAACCTATTACCAGCACTATACAAATGACAAGTATTTAAAATACCATTTACTTTCCAAGTGAATAGTGTTTGTATAAAGAGTTGACCATAAGGCACTGTCAGATAGCGTTTATAGTCCCATAACAGAAATAATAATTTCCTTACATCACAAGCACTAAATTGGACTAATATGATAGGAAAAAATAAAGTAGTTAAACATTCATACATTATTGAAAACCTGGTAAAACATCATCACAAAAATACATCTCAACAATCTGTACATCTCAGAAAATAATGAAAATTATAATTATGAAAGCATTAAAAGATTAAACTGGTGACCTAGGAGTGGGTTTAGCTAGGAAAACAAACACTACAAGCACAAGCACTTTGTGTTGCATAACTGCATGTGTTCTTTTTCTTTGGACTACTATGCTAGTGGAAGTTTTCCAGAGTAGACCCAACTACTATTACTAAAACCTGAATGTTTTGACATAACAGGTTACTAGTTCTCTGTCACAATAAATGTTTAAGCAGAAATGCACAAATCTTCAGTCTAGGATTTAAATGGAAAAAAAATCCAATCCTGTAAAGCTAAGCATCTGTGAGCAAATAAGCCCGCTCAAGATGAGGTCAATGTCTTTATGATAATGAAGCAGAAAGACTCCTCCCATCCATTTTCCAGTAATGGAAACTGGAACACTGGAGCTCTCAGTGCTCCGAGTAAAAAAACCCACAACAACCATACCCAAGTTGCAGCAAACTACAGAGAGAAACAAGACACCTGTCCCAAACCTGTAGAATTCCACTATGAAACATGACTAGAAGACGTTCATTAACAGCCCCCTTCAACCTCAATTAGGAAAGAAACATGTGAGTGTATGAGTAACAGGGTTTATTTACCTCTCTGTCAAATCTGCCAGGTCTTCTCAGTGCAGGGTCTAAGGCATCAGGCCTGTTGGTCGCTGCCACAATGACCATCTTCCCCTCACTGCCTACTCCATCCAGCAGCGTCAGCAACTGAGCAACAATACGATCTTCAGGAGCATTGTTTGAACTTCCTCGCTTTGGGCATAAAGAATCAATCTCATCAAAAAAGAGAATGGTAGGGCCCTCGTTTGCCATCTCTCTGCCTTTTTCAAAGACTCTCCGCAAATTCTCTTCACCTTCTCCTGGTCTTGAACCATGGAGGGCTGGGCCACTGATGCCAAATAGATACGCACCCAGCTCTTTTGCTACTGCCTTTACCGTTAGAGTTTTCCCTACACCTGGGGGTCCAATTAATAGCACTCCATTGGGGACAGAAAGACCCAGCTTCTTGAAAGTTTTTGGAAAGCGGAAAGGAAGATCAATCATTTCTTTCAAAGACTTCCCCACATCATCCAGTCCTGCAACTGAAGTTTTTGCAGTGTCTTCTGAAAGATGTCTGTACCATTCTAAAGGGATCACCTCCTTAATTTTTATACTTGTCTGGGGAGTTACTAATCCAGCTCCCTCATTCAAAGGAGATGTAGACAGTATTTCAATATACACCACGGGATTTTCGGGACTTGAGGGAACAGTAACAACGTAACGAGGCGAAACATACACATTTCTTAGCAGTTCTGTGATTATCTCCTGCAACAGCCCTCTGGGAGTTGACTTTTTCAGCGCGGCGCTTTTGAGGACCACTCTCACAGCGGCTGTTCGCAGCTGTCCGTACGGCAGCAGCTGCAGCCGGCCCAGGCTCAGCGAGAGGCCGCGCAGGTGCCGCGCCGCCAGCCCCGCCGTGCTGCACGTGAGGTCGGCCTGCAGGTACCCGTCCGCCAGGTCGTGCCGGGGCCACGCCGTGCACACACAGCAGCCGCCGGGCACGGAGATCCTCAGCGGGGCGCCGATCCTGGCTCCCAGGAAGGACAGCGCGGCAGGTCCAAGCCGGCACCGCTGGGTGCCCTCATCTCCCGGGTCCAGCGGGAGCAGCTTTAAGACTGACGCCTCCATCGCTGCCTCCGCGAGGGAAGGCAGCAGCCCCCCTGGTTTGCGCGGGCCCGTCGGCTCCTTACTCACCGCGCCTCACTGTCCGGCGGGGCTCCCGCTCCGTCACCGCCCGGCGCACCGCAGCCGCCCGGCATTGCCGACCCCGGGCAGGGACTCCGGGCAGGGACCCCGGGCAGGGACGGGACGGGCCGGAGCGCAGCCGAGCCGCTCGCGCGCTGACAGGCGGCCCCGCGCATGCGCCACAGCGGAGCACGCGCACTGCGCCCCGCCTCATCCCCCGCAGGATCGCAGAATGAGTCCAGCGGGAAGGGAGCTCCGGAATCATCCAATATAAGCTCTGTCCCAACACCACCGTGCCGGTGTGACCGTGGCACTCAGTGCCATGTCCAGTCTTTCCTTAAACATAGCTAGGGATGGTGATTCCTTGGCAGTTCACTCAATATCTAATCGCCCTTCCTGTGAAGAATTTTTTGCTATTGATCAACCTAAACCTCCCCTAGAGCAGCTTGAGACTGTGGCCTCTTGTTCTGTCTGGGAGAAAAGGCCAAGCCCGACCTGGCTACAGCCTCCTTTCAGGGAGTTGTAGAGAGGGATAAGGTCCTGCCTGACCCTCTTTTTCTCCAGGTTGAGCCGTGCTCCCTCAGCCATTCCTCATAGTACTTGTGCTCCGGGCCCTTCACCATCTTGGCTGGCATTCTCTGGACCTGCTCCAGTTCCTCAATGTCCTTCCTGAACTGAGGGGCCCAGAACTGGCCACAGTACTCAGTGTGCGCCACCTCCCTCATGCCCTGCCTCAGCCGCTGCCCTGAGCCTTCCCTTTGAAGGGCTGTCGAAGCAATGCCCTGAGGTGAGTGCTGTGTCCTGGAGATTTAATTTCTCTGTCTCGTTCTTATACACTCATACCACAGAGGAAATGCACTGACTCCCATTCTAATTTCCATCTGGCTTGCTCTCCACAGAGCTGGTCACGACAGTTCTTGTTTGTCACCCTCATTTCTTTGCCTTCTTTTTGTTTCCTCAGCGCTGCCCACTTGTTTAGTGCTTCTTAAACATGTTACCAAATGCTGGGCTCCCCCATTCCTGTGCCCCTGCCAGTGCTTCCCTCTGCTCCTTTGTCACCAGCAGTCATGTTGAGTCAGCTGTGGGTGCTGGTTAAAAAAACACCTGTGGAGCTGCACGACTGGCCTGAGAAGCTGCTGATACAAGTAATTAAGACACAGATTTTCATTCAACATTTGGTAAAACTGTTGTATGTTGCTCTGACAAATGCTTAGTCAGCATTTAAGAAAAGTTTTGGTCCCCCACCTTCTTAGATTGAGCCATGAATTGTGTGGTACTTTTAGAAAAACTTTCCAGGAGGTCTGTCAGCGTTGTGGGCTACAAGATAAAATTTACTATGTGCATAGTTTCATTCTTGAAAGTAGCTTCATTTTAAATAAAGTCACACATGCTGAATACACAGACTTTAAGCCCACATACATACAAGAACTGGGATCTCAAAGCTCAAGGCTCATCAGACAGAGTTAAATTCACAGAAAACCCAGAGAAGGTGGTTTACAGCACAACTGCAATCTGTCCTGCATTGTGTTCTGAAGGCCTCAGCAGGGGCAGTGTAACAAAACCTTTGTGATGGCATCCTGGTTAATCACATTCCTTACTGAACCAAGGCTGTACACAAAATATTTCAGTAAGCCATATGAATAAAAGCAGGCAGTGTTAAGAGAACGAGTTTGTAATAATTCTAAATGCTGAATAGAAACTCACTAGAATTTTGTAGGGCTGTGCAGTGTGAAAACCAGCAAGCCTTCTCTTTAGGCCTAATAATATGCCAAAGGGCCTGTAATATATTTCCTTTCAATTCATGACCAGATTTTCTCATTTCAGTGTTTATTTTCTATTACTCTACTCCTGGATATCTACTTAATCTTTCTTTTCATAGCACGATTCTGTCTGCACACACATGCAAATGTTTATATGGAATATGCTTATATGGAATATGTAGACTTACCATGTATTTGGTGTAGGACATACTAATGTCTGTCCAGAGAATGTACAGACAAAAGATTATAAGGAGCTTTCATTCCAAGAAGGCAAATGTATTTTCAAGCCAATGTCTTATAAACATATTCTCTTGTTTTATTTCTTTCCATCAAAGGTTCTCATAAACATGAGTGCCCTCAAGTACATACTCGATTAAACAAAAAACATACTCTGTTTAAAATGGCAGATTTGTGTTTCAGAGATCTCAACTGTAAAGGGTAGATGCTCTGCTTGGTTTTAGAAAGCTGTGCTTAGGAAAAAAAAGTATGGAAAATTGAATATTTGCAATGAGCTCTGTAGTTTATATTTATATATAGTGGTTCCTATTAACAGACTTATTGTAACATCTGGAAAATATGATTTCTTATAAGAAGGAGAGCACCTGAAAAATCTAATCTTAAGTAACAAAGTAACAAAAGTTTGTGTCCAATATAAAAGCTCTGCTATTATTGCTTGATGAGCGCATTTTAGTAAATTTTAACTTAAACGTCTTTAAATTTTTACTGTATTTTATTGCTGTAATACTGATTATTTTACTTTAAGACACTGGTAGTTGAGTTCTTTTTAGTATAGTGAAGTGAAGCCCCCAAAAAACTAATATGTCCTATTGAAAGTGCACAGGATTGACTTATTTCTAACAAATTGTGGAATCACATATATATTATTTATGTATTTTCTTAGAAAACTTTGCTGTGTGACATTGCTCTCATTTCAAATGCATACATTTAGTATCCATGCCCCTGAATAATTTACAGACCCCAAAATTTACAGAGACAAAGTGGCAAAAAATATTCCACCAAGAATCTAGTTTAAATTGACAAGAAACTGAAAGTAATGTTTTAAACAGTTCTCTCACCATTCTGCCATCACTAGATGGCAGCTGATCTTCAAGAATGGCTGTATTTCTCCTTGCAGAGATAATTTGGAGGGAGTGGTCATCAGTTCTTGGAGAAATCAAATATTGTCTAGCATTGTCTTCATGTCTAATATGAAACTGAAAAACCGACACAGTGAGTGTTCAGATAATTTTCGTCTTCATTTGTTTTTCTTGTTGGGCTTGTTGCTCTCTATTTCTGGGGAAGAATGTTGCTTCCCCCCATATTTAGTGTGCCAGACTAACTTATTTTAAAGGAAAACGTACAATTATTAAAGGTTCTAAAAAGAAGTAATAATAATTCATTGTTCTTTTTTTCCCCCTTAATATATTTATTGGGTTTTGATGGACTAATGTTCAAAATTCCCAATTATTATAACTCACAAAATAAAATAATTGTCTTGTTACAATAATTCCCTGCATACAAAGTAAATAAAATATTAAGCTGATTCTTTTTTTAGTAGGTTTTACCCCCTCTATTACTGGAATGGACAATTTCGTTTTAAATTGACAAATTAACTGTGTTTTTAACATAGTCTTTTTTCATGGTAGATGGATTTGAAGATGTGGTCTGATTGTTTATTAATCAAATAAGGATAGTTCAAAGTGAGTAGCTGGCATGTACATGCTTTAGAGCAGGATTTTAGTATTTGTGGAGGTTCTTTGACTAAGTATAAATGCTGTATTACACTTAGGCCAGATATTGCACATTTCAAACACCAGGCTTTATTATAACAAAACCTCATAAATAAATAGTGAAGACATGCTTAGAAAAGGAATGGAAAGAGCTTTTGTATGTCTGCATGTCTTTCTGGGAGGGCCACCCTCAATGTGTTTACTTAATTTTCTAGTGAGCATCCAGTCTTGTATCTTTACATGGAAAAAGTTCCCACTGCAGCTAGGAATTTTGGATGGGCAAGGCCCAGGGGATGGGTTAGGCCCAGGAATTAGAGTGTGGAAAATCTCTGCTTGCTGATAGAAGTTTTGCTGAAATTATTGCACCTTAGGTGGAGACCATTGATGCTGCATCTGTACCAGAAGTCATTGCCATCATGGCAGATGCATCAGGGAATATGTGTGCCTGCACCTGGAGCCTTCCAGTGGAAACTCACTTGTCTTAAGTTGCCAAGGAAAGAATTTTATGCTAAGGCTCTACATTTCTTTGGGAGTGACTGGACTCCCAACTGCACATTCCCTTCTCTTGAAACTTTGAGGTGAAAGCTTTTCAAAGAAGGGAGAATGCACAGCTGCAGGTAATTAAATAGGGTATGTTTATCAATTTGTCAATATTTGTCTTTAGCACCTTTTGATTTTTGCTTAGGGATGCTTGGTTATCTGTTTCAGCAAAATATATAATCCAGTGGTTCATTAAATCTTCTTTTAGATATGGAATAGTGAGATCCTTGTGTGGTATTCAGTATAGGAATGAGAGTAGATTGGTTGACAATTAGAGAAGGGCCACACAAACCTGAGTGACTTAGCAGCAAAATGGCATATTAAATTCAGTATACAGCTATGAGGACAAAGGGGGGAATAAAGGGAAGAGTAATCAAAGGGAAAGGCCACTTTTTCAGCATCAGGATAGGTGAGTCCATGGAAATGTCAGCTCAGTGCTTGATGTGCAAAAAACAAATCAATTGTTAGCCCTAATTTAAAAAGGAACCAAGAATATAACAAAAACTGTCTAGTCTCATTGATTTTGTGGTATCATTGTACTTCAGATGTGTGTACTTCGGATCTCCTGTCCTCAAAAATATGTATTAGAACTGGGAAAGGTTCAGAGAAGGCAACAAGAATGGTTTCTGTCCAAGAAATACCTAAAGTAGGTTAGGTCTCCTAAAGACAGAGGAAAGCTGTGGAAGAGGTTTGCAAAACTGTGATTTGTATTGGAAATGCCTGTTTTAAAAGTCTCTTCCAATGCCAGAACAACTGATGCTACTCAGACCTCTTCTCAAAATAAAGAAAAAGAGGTAATGTATCACATGGTGGGTAGTGGATCTGTAGAACTTCATGGAAGGATGCTGTGGATGCAGAATTGTGTGTTGATTCAAGAGGAGACTGGAGAGTATTTATAAAAGGATGCTGTTCC